AAAAAAAGCTAAACCTGTAATCATTAGAAAAATGCAAATTAAAACCACAATGAAATATGATTTTATATCAGTCAGGAGGGCTATAATTAAAAAGTTAGAAAACAACAGATGTTGCCATGAATGTGGGAAAAAATGAGTATGCTTATACGCTGTTGGTGGGAATGTAAATTAGTACAAACTCTATGGAAAACCATAAGCAGATTTCTCAAAGAACTAATAATCAAAAAAAAAAAAAATCTAACCCAGCAATCCCACTAATAGGTATATACCTAAAAGAAAATAAATCATTATATAAAAAAGACACCTGCATTTGTATGTCTATCACAGCACTGTTCACAATAGCAAAGTCACGGAATCAACCTAAGTGTCCATTCACAGTTAACTGGATAAAGATAATGTGGTAAATATACACCAAGGAATACTATGCAGCCATAAGAAAGAACAAGATCATTATCTTTGGAGCAACATAGATGGAAATGGAGATTATTATCCTATATGAAATAACTCAGAAAACTAAATACCCCATGTTCTCACTTATAAGTAGGAGCTACACAATAGGTACACATGGGCATAAAGATGGAAATAACAGACACTGAGGACTCCAAAAGGGGAGAAGTTAGAAGGGGGTCAAGGGTTGAAAAATTATCTAATGGTCACTATTTGGGTGATGGGTACACTAGAAGTCCAGACCCATCATTATGTAATATACCCATATAAAAAACCCACAAATACACCCCCAGATCTAAATTAATTTTTTTAAAAAAAGAAAAATAAATACATATGTAAACACTGCACAGATTTGTTATTGAAATTAAAAACAATGATCCTTTAATCTACTGTGTTGTTCATATTACCATAAAGTTATTCAATAACAAGCTTTCTACTTAGCTTACATCCCAGTCAATATTTGCAAAAAATAGATGTCTTTTGATTTCCTCAACTCCTTCTGAACCTATAAAAAAGGAAATGATTTTTTATTGATATGCGTTTTTTTTTTTTGTTTTTTTTTTAAATCTTGCTCCCTGGCTTCCAGGCTGCTATCTGTAAACAGGAGTACACACATTTCATACATTCTTTGAAACGAAAAGTATATGATTTCTTATCTGGCATTTTATTAGCTGGTACTTTCATTTTACTGTGATAAAAAATAACTAATGTTCATACTGAACTACAAAGAGTATCATGAAATACTAAAGTGTCTCCCAAATCAAATCAAAATATTAAATATAATTAAAATACATATTTTTTCATTCCTAATTTATCTTATGACCTCATATTTATATGCCAAATTAAAAGGTATAAAGGAATAAAGTGAGTGACATTGAAATTTTCACACAAGGACATAAATAATAGCATCGCATCTGGATGCAGGAAAAGGCTACCAGAAAGGGGTCAAAAAGAAGTAGTTATGTTTCCATAATGTTTACTTTGAAAAATATTGGGAGGGGCAAAATATTTATCTTCTAATATATAAAAGATCACCTGTACAGGGGAGAATTGTATTATTTCAAAAGAAGTAACCCATATTATATACCTAATAATATGTTGAAGATTTTATTAACTAGACTACTTCATTTTCAACTCCTGGACATAACAGAGTTTACTTCATGTGAAATGCATACAGAGAATGAAAAATTCTATGAATAAATATATAGAAGTCGTGTTTAAATCAAACAAGAAAACATAAAGATTTAATTATCCTCCCGAAACATGCAGTTACTTCTATAAAAGCTAAGAAAATAAACAATACCCAATCTATTTGCTGGATTCCTCTTGAATAACATCCTTAAAAGACTTTGTGCTTCAGCACTAAGAAATTGAGGCATTCCAAGTTTTGCTCTGAAACAGAGGATTTTAGAAAATTTCACTTAAATGTAGCCACACTTTTGATTTGAGAAATCTCAAAAATAATTTTTAAAAGTGCTTTTACAAGGGTAAATAAAGTCCTGTACATGGTAAAAGGGAACAAGACAGTGAGAAAAATGTTCTTTTGTGTTACTTTAAAACCACAATAAATTTATCAAAACTGAAAGCAAGAGATTTTTTTCCCAAAAGAAAAACATACTGTTTTACTTACTTTAATATCATATTCATGGTTTCATTTCTGTCTTTACCTTGAAATGGTAGAGTACCAGTAAGCATTTCAAACTGAAAAAAAAAAAAACACATAATTAGAACACCTTAGAATATATAAGATTTTTTAGAAAAAAAAAAATGAGTCTTCTATGTAATCACCAAATTGTAGTTCCTACATGATAGTAGGCAAAATGAGAACAGAAATCTAGGTCACTTAAATACACTTCTGGTACCCGC